AATACATTAGATGCTGCACAACCAAGAGAGCAATCTGGATTCAGAAGTCGATTCAGCACCCTGGATCATTTCCATACGCTTCGAGAACTGAGTAGAGCTAAAGAATAAGAAATACCGTTAGAATTACCTTTCATATTTTTCGAGAAGGCTTTGACTAAATGAATACTACTCAATAGCGGGTCAGTATTAAGAAAAAACAACACCTTATTTGTGATGTATAATATGTCACGCAAAATACGAACAATATACTCGAGAAAAAATTAACCAACTTAATAAAAAAAGGGATTGAAAGATAGAAGAGAAGGATTATTCAGTATACATAAAATAAGAAGGAAATGGGCAATAGACAGCACAACATGTAAAATGCTCTGAAACTTAAGTTTAACAATTTTATTTTAATTCAAAAATTTGGTATAAAATATTTTTACACAATTCTAATACAAATTATTAATATTTTTCTGTCTGAACAACACTGTAATTAGAAAGTCATGTTTAAACCGCAGTATTTGAGGCAAGAATAACAAAAGTCAGTAGTATTTTCAAATAGTGTCGCTATAAAAAGAATTAGTGATTTCAAAACGACAACTTAACCCAGCCTAACCCTATTTATTCTACCACAGTATTGTTTATTCATTATCACGAAATATGCACCGATATACCAGACAGAAAAATATGAGCTGTAGTTCTGTCAGCAATCTTAATTCAAATAGATATTTTACAATTTCATACAAAACTTACACAGATACTTGTTTAAGTATTTACAAAATAATTCGTTTGGAGTACCAGAAATCGAATTCACTACGAATATTGGCCATGACGATTTCGCCAGGTAGAAATAGTATGATTTCTCTTTTTGTTTTTATTTACAAAATCACTATTTTGGAGAGTTTTGAACTCGCCGATTATATATTTTGTGAATTACAATTCCATACTTTTATTAATGATTTTGACTTACAAAAATTTCAAGATTTACTTTATTTACACATTATCATTTTTTTTAATAATTAAACTTTACATTTTTACAAAAAAAAAAAAGCAATAAAATAATATTAATTGTAGTACTTAAATTATTGAGCTGGTATTATTAATTACATCTAATATTACACATATAAAAATATCTACTAAAATTAAATATACAAAGACACTTCTTATGTACAGATCTGTCGGTCATTATATAAATAAAATTGGAATGAACTTTACAAACAATAATAGTTTAGTCAAGTTAAGGAAACAATGTACAAATACAGTAGCCTCACTCTTAACCGGTTGTCTTTTAACAGACGTACATATATGCTGCAATGTCTTTAAATCTATGCTACATTTTCACTAGTAGATGGAATGATACATTATTATGTCATCAAATATGATTTGTGTTTTGTACTGAGAAGTGACAGCGCATTGTAGCAGGTTTTACAAATAATTCTCGTATCATTTAAAGTTTCAACTTATTTTCGTGATTTGAATTTATTAATTTTCTAAAAAGACTTGCTATAACGGGTACCTATTATTTTAGTGTTCGATTTTTATGGTTAGGATATATTTATAAGCTGATACATAATAGGTAGTATAATTACGAAATGAAATTTCATTATTTGGTATTTTCTAATTCTTACATTGACGTTTTGATGATGTTTTGCTATAATTGATATAAATATGAATCATGACATTTGTACAAAGATACAGCGGACCCAATATACCAATTACTAAAAATATCACCTATCAATAGATTGCCGGCAACCTTGGAAAATACTAAAGATGCGCAGTTCTTCCTAGTTACTGATTACTGTAACATTTGAAGTATTTGAACTAGCACTACATACTTTAGAATTTACAGAGATTAAAATAACAATACCATTCACATACACACAGTTAAACATACTATTTACCAAATGGAAACAAATAAGTAGATAGTACAGAGGTAGGCAATGAAATTTCTCGAAACTTTATAATGACAGCTAAACAATAAGAGCAATATAAAATTATTCTGAAAATATAAAGGTTATCTGAAAATATAA